ATTGCTTGTGAGAACGTCTGTCTTACGATTGCCAAGTCACCTTGCCAGGGGTGGAAAGTAGTAAGGAATTATTTCAGCGTGACTGCTTATCTTAGGTCCTTGCACAGCGAGGTCTGCAGACCAGCCAATCGGCATCACCTGGGAGCTGGCGGGTTCTCAGGCTGCATCCCAGACCCACTTTATCACAAAGTACCTCGAAGCACAGAGGCTTCAAACAGCGATCGTTTTCTACTCCTCAGGATCCTTTGGGTCAGGGATTCAGGCAGAGCTCAGCCCGTAGCTCTTCTGTCCCAGCGCTGGCGTGGGACACACCAGCTCCAGGAGGGGAAGGGTGGGGGTGGGACACCTGCAGGGGCGGGGCTGGGGGCAGGGGTGGGACAGGGGTGGAGAGCGGGTGGGGCAGGAGCACGGTGGGGGGGGGGGGGTAGGGCAGAGGTAGGAGGGGGAGCAGGGGTGGGGTGGGCCTGCTTGTCTCCAGCTTCAGCCCAAACTCGCCCACTCAAGTGCAGTTGTAATTCCAAGCCATTTTCAGGAGGTTGTCAGTTAGAATCTAAATTAAATACCTGATATACAGTCTATAAATCTATTTTCTTTCTCCGTGAATATTTCAAGGAGACTCAGTGTGAGGGTAAGGAGTGTTTTTGGAAGATGTTTGCAATACAAGCCTAATACATTTAGCCTCTGGTTTAGATAGATCGGCCTCTGCATCAGGCAGCAAAGACGTGAGATCTCCATTCTCACCTGTGGCCCCTTTCCTGAGAAGGGATGAGCGTCTCAGGCCTGTCTGCTGAAACCTGCGGGGACAGACACCTGCGGGGAAGGACACCTGCGGGGACGGACACCTATAAGGATGGACATTTATGGGGACAGACACCTGTGGGGAAGGACACCTGCGGGGACGGACACCTGTGGGGAAAGACACCTGTGGGGACGGACACCTATAAGAACGGACACATGTGGGGACAGAGCTGCGGGGAAGGACACCTGTGGGGACCGACACCTATAGGGACGGACACCTGTGGGGACGGACACCTATAAGGACGGACACTTGTGGGGACAGACACCTGTGGGGAAGGACACCTGCGGGGACGGACACCTGTGGGGAAAGACACCTGTGGGGACGGACACCTATAGGGACGGACACCTGTGGGGATAGACACCTGTGGGGAAGGACACCTGCAGGGAAGGACACCTGCAGGGAAGGACACCTGTGGGGATAGACACCTGTGGGGAAGGACACCTGCAGGGAAGGACACCTGTGGGGACGGACACCTGTGGGGATGGACACCTATAAGGACGGACACTTGTGGGGACAGACACCTGCGGGGACGGACACCTGTAGGGAAGGACACCTGTGGGGACGGACACCTATAAGGACGGACACTTGTGGGGACAGAGCTGCGGGGAAGGATACCTGCGGGGATGGACACCTGCGGGGACGGACACCTATAAGGACGGACACTTGTGGGGACAGAGCTGCGGGGAAGGATACCTGCGGGGATGGACACCTGCGGGGACGGACACCTATAAGGATGGACACTTGTGGGGACAGAGCTGCGGGGAAGGACACCTGCGGGGATGGACACCTGTGGGGATAGACACCTGTGGGGACGGACACCTGCAGGGAGGACACCTATAAGGACGGACACCTGTGGGGAAGGACACCTGTGGGGACAGACACCTATGGGGACAGACACGGGACGGACATCTGCGGGGACGGATACCTATAGGGACAGACACCTGCGGGGATGGACACCTGCAGGGACGGACACCTGTGGGGACAGACACCTATAGGGACGGACACCTGTGGGGATGGACACCTGCGGGGAAGGACACCTGCGGGGATGGACACCTGTGGGGATAGATACCTGTGGGGACAGACACCTGTGGGGACAGACACCTGCGGGGAAGGACACCTGAGAGGGCATGGAACTGCCAGGAAGCAACAGCCTCTTCAGGAAATCAGATTATTCAAGTACATTACCCTGCATTTAGAAGTTTTTTTTTGTTGTTTTTTTTTTAAAGATTTTATTTATTTATTTGACAGAGACATAGCGAGAGAGGGAACACAAGCAGGGGGAGTGGGAGAGGGAGAAGCAGGCTTCCTGCAGAGCAGGGAGCCCAATGCGGGGCTTGATCCCAGGACCCTGGGACCATTACCTGAGCCGAAGGCAGCCACTTAACGACTGAGCCACCCAGGCACCCCACATTTAGAAGTTTTTTGAAGGCTTTAAAAAAAACAAGCCAGATGAATAATTTTAGGATTACATACCCAAAGCAGAACAATTGCTTTTACAATTTACAAAGCATATTACATGGTCTGTCTCCTGAAGGATTAAATACAGAATTTTTTTTTTAAAGATTTTATTTTTTTGATAGAGGGTGAGAGAGCACAAGCAGGGGGAGCAGGAGAGGGAGAGGGAGAAGCAGACTCCCCACTGAGCACGGAACCCAATGTGGGGCTCAATCCCAGGACCCTGGGATCATGACCTGAGCTGAAGGCAGACGCTTAACCATCCAAGCCACGCAGGCGCCCTGGAGGATTAAATATAAAGAGATTGGTATAGGTGTTCCTATAGTTCCTAGAAAAAAACGTGGGTAGCAGTCAAAAAGGTTGATCAAGAAAAGAAAGATTTTTTCTTCATTTCCTTCCAGTTTGTGTGTCTGTTTATATGTATATGTTAGAATTCTGTGGATTGTATTGTTTTCTGGGTGATTATTCTTTAGCCTGTCCTTAACTGATGGTCACTCTAAGAGAGAAGGTAATTAAAGTTACGTGACTCTTTGTTCTAACGTAAGAAACGTAGTGTTTCATACTGGCTAGAATCTAGAATCAGTTGGTTTTGAGAAATCTTGACTTTCGAGGAAGTGAAGTTTCATGATAGTTAGCTAATTTTTATATCTGCCCCCAAATCCTTTTTTGACAGAAGGGACATCTTCATTATGTAATTATAAGTGGAGCATCAGAAACCAATTTTAACAAGTAATCCCTTCCTCTAAACATTTTCTTCCTCAGGAGATAAGACTTCCCAGAGGTTACTGGAAGAGAGCTGTCATCTTCTGTTCATAGCTGTTCCGTAGTTAATATGCCTGCTCTAAGTTCTGTCATTTGGGGTGTTTTTACTGTTGCTGTTATCTTGCAAATGGCTAAGTCCATGAAGACCATGTTAAACATTTTTACACAGATAATACTAAACATGGAAAATGTGTACTTTTACTTTTAGTCACAAACATGCGAATCAGGAACTTGGAAGAAAGGTTTGTAGGACCAGACTAACCCAAAATACCTAGATTAAATGTCTGCCATACAACTTGATTCCTCTTTCCTCCCCAGGTTCACCCCCATTTCTCAGGGTGGGACTTGTCACCTTGAAGCTGAGTTGAGTGTAGATCTCAGTTAACATTCCTTTGAAGTCACAAGGATGTAGACTTAACGGGACAAGATGCTTATCTCTGCGTTAGACCGCGCAGCAGGCGAGGGTTAGTGAGCCGTCCCATCCATCCCATATGGTCAGTCCTGCAGACTTCCTGACCGTCTCTTTCTCATTAAGACTCCAGCGTATTTAAGGGCGCCTGGGTGGCTCAGTCGGTTGGGCTACTGCCTTCAGCTCGGGTCATGATCCCAGGGTCCTGGGATCGAGTCCCACATCGGGCTCCCTGCTCTGCTTCTCCCTCTCCCACTCCCCCTGCTTGTGTTCCCTCTCTCGCTGTGTCTCTCTCTGTCAAATAAATAAATAAAATCTTTAAATAAAAAAAAAAAAGACTCCAGCATATTTAAGACTGAGAAAATCTGTAACAGACTTTAAGCAGGGAGAATATAGACATTTTATTTAAAGTTGGTGCTACTCATACTTCACTTTGCTTATGCAGTTTTCTTGGAAATCTCAGGTTACAGCTCTATTTTTTTTTTTAAGTTTTATTTAAGTAATCTCTGCACCCCACATGGGGCTCAAACTCACAACCCTGAGATCAAGAGTTGTATGCTCTACCGACTGAGCCAGCCAGGTGCCCCTACAGAGCTACTTTAATCATTTGTCCAAGTGGGACCAACCAAGAATTAGATGAAAATTTTCTGAAAAGTGGTTAATTGGATATTTTGCATTTAAAAGAATCTGTTACCTTAAGAATTTATTTGTCTTGTTTTTCACGTTAGCCCATCCCGACACATGTATGTAAACATGTGATTAGGAAATTGTTTTATTATAACTGTTCTTTTATTGTCTGAAACTGGTGAGCACTTGGGATTAAAGCACATGATTAAAAGTTGTCAATTTTAGCAAGCAAACTCAGCTCAGCCTCTTAGTATACTTGCTATGTCAAGCATACAGAAGGAAATAGATATTAAACTTACAGTAAGCAAAGAATGAGTCAGTATTCCAAAAATTATGGCTTAGGATAGTATTCTCATGCAGTCCTAAAACTCAACGACCCCATTCCATAAGACATCATCTTCCCCCTGGCCCTAAAGTGAGGGTCTGTGTCGGGGAAGGTGGAGGATGTTGACTCTGACAAATACCCAGTCTAGATTCTAAGTGTCCTTCTGTCAGTGGACGTTCTCTCTCTAGCCATGGTTTTGAGAAATGTGGAGCCCTGACAGTGCATGTAGAGTCTGACTCTTCCCGCTCCCGTGGTGGCAAATGGTAGGTCCACTTGGAGAGCACCGATAATAAATGATGTGCACGAATTGTAGCCAGGTTGGTTCAGTCAGGTTTGAAGAAAGCCGGACGTGTACGAAAATGAGAGTCTGCCACACTGATGTTAATGAAGGGATAATCATTTCATGTCTGAATCACAACTGCCTAGATCCCCAGAGTTACAAGACTAGATTACACACAATTTCAGGAACACCTGTGTAAGGGTTAGGCTTCATCTGACTCGGGTAAGAGTGCTGAGTTTTATTGATTTAAGTGAATTAAGGGTGTGCTAGGAAGTGGTCCCGTTTTGGGCAGTGGAAAAAGACATTGGGACTTATTAACTGCTCTTTCTCTCTTTTTTGCCAGATTTAGAAATGGCTGTTGCATACTGGAATTTAGTATTATCTGGAAGGTTTAAATTTTTAGATCTTTGGAATACCTTCTTACTGGTGAGTGTCCTCCGGCTTCTTGCTGTGTGTGCCCAGTGTGATGGGGTCAGCAGATTGCGAGGCTATGTATTCTGACCGAGGCGTTCCGGACGGGCGGTGGGTCGTGGGGGTTCCGTACGGGCGGTGGGTCGTGGGGGTTCCGTACGGTGGCCACACGGCGGAGCTCCAAGCAGGGCCGTCCTGAGGCCAGTGTCCGAAGCGCCTCAGGGAGCCACACACAGAACCCCCAGCTAGGCCTTCAGACGCCCTGCAGACCTGGGCTGTCATCCATCCGCCACCTTTTCCAAGGAACTCAAACTAATTCTGTGCTTCCTCTGAGAAACTTGGAATTCCTGAAGAAAGCACCAGTCACACATGTCCTGGACGTTGGTCCTGGCCCCGGACCGTGGCTTGTATCCCGGTGTCCAGTGCGCTCATAGTCTGACACACTTTTAAACGTGTTTACGATGTTCAGAAGGAAAAAGGAGGGCTTAGCTGGCCCCTTGGGAGAGTCTGTCCGTGCCGGCGACGGGCCTCTGAGTGGTGCTGGGCCTTCGTGGTGGGGCGGCCCCTCCTTGCCGGGAGTCAGGGAGTGGGTGTTACAGTGTGGAGCATGTGGAGCATGGGGTCTCGCTGCAGAACAGTCACATGATGTCGGTGTGCCCAGACCCAGCATGGCGCTCCCTCCATGAACGTGTGAGGGGTGCCTTCTCACGGCACAGACCCCGGCCTGGCTGAGGCCCATCCTCCCTCGGGGGGCCCGTGTGTAAAGGGGCCTCCTTGAAGCGGTGTGGGAGAGCCGAGACGCCCATCGCATTTCCTCTGCTCCACCACTTAGTAGTTTGGGGCCGGCGACCTCAGTTGCAGACGTTCCCAGAGATGGGACGGCACCCTCACAGCAGCACCTTGGGAACCCCCCAGAGCCCTAAACAGGAGAGCGGGTGAAAACTCAGGAGAACGCTCCCAGACACAGTGACCACAGCTGAGTCCAGGCCCGCTGTTGAGCGGGAGAAAGCTGCTGCATGTCCTGGGGTAGCTAGATAAATGCACAAGGACAGGCTGAGCGTGGTGCATGGTCCCTTGAGGAGGGTGCACTGTGCTAGGAGGGGAGGGCAGGAGAGGACCGTGGCTGCCAGGACTGCGGGGGGGAGCCTTCGGCGAGGTGGCGCATCCCAGCACGGACATGCGGTGTTTTCTACGTGTTTGGTAGATCTCAAGTATTGCATCACATGTTTTTAGACCATCATCCCATCCTAGTATAGAAAGAAAGAAATTGTGTCCAAATGCAGTTTGCCTGTTCGTCCTGCATTGGGTCTGAATCAGTGGGGGTTAGGTAGAGATTTGAAGTGCTGCCCTCGTATTTGAAACAGATTATAATCTTGGTATTTTAAATAAGTCTACTTTTCCATATTTGCATGTTGGCATTATGTAGCTCCTAAGATTTATCCGGAAGCCTCTTACTGTTCTGATGTCCAGCAGTGTGAGTGGTGGTTCTTAGTCCACATCAGATTGCAGACTGAGCCAACTAGACAGTGGGACGCCGGAGGTCACGTCTGTTTCTCAAGTCTGGTGGGTTTTTTTCTCTTATGTATTAGGAGCATCACAAAAGATCAATCCCAAGGGACACTTGGAACCTTCTGCTAGATTTTGGAAATATGATTGCAGATGATATGTCTAACTATGACGAAGAAGGTACGGGAAGTCCTGGTGCTTCAGATGGTGGCCAGAAACGCTGACGCGCAGGCTGCCTCTCTCTGCCCCGGGGCGCAGGACGGTGCTGACCAGCTCCAGCCGACTGCGGGCCGCCCCCTCAGGGCAGTGGGGGTAATGGCCGTAATAATAGTTACCCCTTTAGTGTGTCTGTCAACTGCACGAAGGAGAAGTAGGGCTTCAGGATGTAGCTTCAGTCCAGAGGGGAGTGTCCCCTAAACTAAAGCATTTCCCAGGTGGCCGCGCACAGAGGTGTTTGGGAGCCGCCACCCCAGGTACACGATCCTGTGTGACCCCCTGTCATGCTGCTGATGTCGGCCTGAGGATTCCAGCTGGTGCTTGACGTAAACATAGTCACATATCTGTGGTCCCTCAGGCCAGCCGCTCAGGGAGCATTTGCGTGCCCGCCGCCCGGGGCGCTTGGCCACGGCAGGGAAGGAGGCTCCGTCTCGCCCGCCCGCCGTGTGCTTCCTCCATGCCCAGCCTGGAGGCCACCCCCTGGGGCCGCTTCTCACCTCCCTGCTCTTGGCGCTGGCGAGTGAGGGCTCACCGACCCGGCGTGCGTGTCTGTGTGTGTCCTCCGCGCTGGGCATGGAGCAGGGTGCGAGTGAACGGGCGGGTGGTTGGCCCTAGACAGGCCCTGCTCCTGGGAGCTTAGCCACGGTGGCGAGACGCGGCTCATCCGCGGAGAAGGAGCCAGCCGCTTACAGTGAGTGTGCGTCTGGCCGGCGGGGGTGTCCCAGGCTCTTGGGTGGTCTGGGCCACTTGGGAGTGTGGGGGTGGCCTGGGCTGGAGGGGAAAGGCCCCAGGGGGAAAAGGAAGGGCGCCAGGCGGCCAGGAGGCCGTGTTCCGCAGGGAGGGCAGGGGGCCCTGCGGCCAGCCAGCCCCGCCTGCCCTGTTGTTAGAGGCCGTGTCTGCTCGAGCGGGTCTGGCCAGAGCTGGAGAAATGGGTTTCACTGGCCGATTCCTTCAGAGAAGCAGGCTGGGAAACTCACCTGAGTTCTTGCAGTACAGACACTGACTGTGAGGAGAATGCTCTGAATACAAAAATATTACTCTAAACTGTTGATTTCTTAAAATACCCGTGTGTTTGCTTCCCCGTAGGAGCATGGCCTGTTCTCATAGATGATTTCGTGGAGTACGCGCGGCCGGTCGTCATGGGCACTAAGCGCAGCCCTTTCTAGGCAGAAAAGTAAGATGCCGAGAGGAAGGGCCTCCTGCAAGGGGATGCTCAGTCGGTCACTGTGCCCCTGTCGCTGGCCCTGGCAGTCGCCCTCGGCCAGCCGGGCGCTGGAATGACCTCCCCCTGCTGCAGAAAGGGCTGAGTTGGACGCCGGAAGGAGCTCCTCAGAAGACACTGCTTCGGGATGCCTGGGGGTGGCTATTACTTTAGATTTCTGCTTGATTTTTATTATACTTGTGACAAAGTAACGCAGAGCATGCTGTTTAATTCATGATGTACGGTGATTGCCAGCAGTGACCACAGCTCCTGCCGGGGCGCCTTGTAATTCCGCTTAAAAAACAGTATTTGTGTCCTCGGCAGGACGCTGTGTTTGTCTGCAAGTCAAAGCTGGTATCCTTGTGCCCTACAGAACATCTGACGCGGATTCGAACATTTGATAAACTTGTGCCAGGAATTCGAGGTTTCTATTTTCTGAATTATCAAATACCTAGATTTATTAGATCTATTTTTATTTTAATTCCCTGTTGATGTTCACGTGAAAGTCATTCCGTGGTTCTCGGTGGAGGCGGTTTGCGAGGTGATGGCACGTGTGGGCTGTGACCCCGGGGGCGTTATTGCAAACTGGTGACAAGTCGCGGGTCTTTTCCTTCCAATGTCATTTGGATGAGCTTCCTAAAAAATTTTGTAAAGTATGTTTTTTTAAAAAATGTATTTTATTACATTTAAAAGGACATTTTTCCATGCAAAGTATTTCTTTTACAAGCAAAGGGTTACAGATTTAAAAGCCATGTGAGTTGGTTCCTTCCAGCGTCTGAGAGGCCCGTCGCCCGCCCTCCGGCTGTGTGCATGGTTTCATACATCTCGTTGCCCGAAACACCCACGGGAAAACCTCCACCTCGTTTCCACCTGAAGCCCATGCTCGTCACGTTGCTGTCGGATTCTTCCAGGGTTTGCTAGCCTCAGAGGACCATCCAGCGAGGCCCAGAACCTGCCCTCCGAGCATGGGAGGCAAGTGTTCTTCACCTGCGATGCCACCTGCTTTCCGTCTGGAAAAAGCTGCGTGTTCTAAAAAGCACCGTGTGGACCCTACCTCATGCATGAAAAGATCTTCATGTCACAGGTGTGCCTGCTGCCGGCCCGCAGCCCTGTGTACGAGACAGACGAGTTGGGGTCACTTCACGGGAGAGAGGAAGCTCACTTTGGATTTTCTGTACATGGACAGTGTGCCTGAAATGTGTGCTTGAGTTGACTTTCACAAACGTGGTTCTGAGTTTCCGGAAGCATCCGTGCCCAATGGGGGGGTTTTTGCATACTTGCTGTGTGTGAACTATGTATGCTTTTGGAAAGGAGTCTTTCAAAGAGACAGCAGGCTGTGGAGGGCAGGAAAGGGGGCCTGAGGCTGGGACACCACCATCGGGGCTGGGGCGGCCCCAGCCCACTCTCCTGGGCCTGCGCTTCCACGGCAGCAAAGGGGCAAACAAGGCTGTCTCCGCCTGCGAGCCTGGGGTTCTAAGAGAGCGCTTACTTTGTAGAATAAAAACCTCCACAATTTTAACACATCCTTCGAGGCCTCGTGGCTTCCTGCCATGGAAGTGTTCTGCTCAGACAAGGCTGCGGAGCTCGGGTAATCTCCCACAAATCCTGGAGGTCTGTAGCACCTGTTCGTTCTTGAGATTCAGAGTTACAGCATGGGAGGCTCCGTGCAGCTGTTTATCAATAGATAACAGAACCTTAGTGGTTGGACAAAGGCTCTTCAAAAAACCGTGGGTTTCTTTTTCTTCTCTTCTGTATATTTAAGGCATGCATGCTATGAAAGTGCTAAGAGCTTCGGAGACATTAAAATAAATTATTTTCTCTGGTGTGGTGGTGTCCTTCCAGCTCTGTCCTCGGCTGCTCAGATGCTGGGTGCCACGGGACCCGCAGGACCACAGCCCCCCGGCCGGCGCCCTCCTTTCCATCACCACAGAGTGTGCTCGCTAAATGTGGTTGTTTCCATGTGAAAATTAGAGGTTTTCCTTGAGCTGATGGGCATCATATACCAGAACACACTGAAATGCAAACTGCAAGTATATTGAGAATACACAAACCACCCGAATGTAATAGGCTTAGTAAAGACACGGAGCGCCTGCCAGGAATTTCTGGAAGAGATGGGACCCCATCTTCCCATGCCGGGGGCGTGTGTGGCACCCCGGCCCTCAGACTCCGGGCTGCGAGGGGGGCTCCAGGCGCACAGCAGGGCTCCATGAATGCTCCCCCACGGGGTGGGGGGTGCCCATGCCGGCTGGACGGCATGGAGCTGCTCCTGGCCACTTCATGAAAGTTTCCACGGCCTCAGAGCCAGCAGAAGAAATGAGCCACAGACCACCTCTTCCTCCAAGTAGCTGTTCGAATGACGCTCTTCCACCCGCGTCGGGTGGTTGTCTGAGTGGAGGGTCTGTCTTGTCCCGCTGGATGGGCGTGCACAGGCCTCACTCCACAGGACCCTGCTGGCTGGAAGACTATTCCAGAGCCTCCTTGTAACAAGTGCTGATTGAACACTTCCTGTGTTCAAGTGCACCTCAGTATCTGGTTATTAGTGAAAGAAATGCTATTCTTAGCAGGCATGATTCTCAGATCCAGGTGTGATGGGTCCCACTTCTGGTCTGATGAGTGGCCAGGTCCCGCGGGCCCATGGCGGGCGGGGACACTGCTTCCTAACTCCCGACTTCCACCCCAGAGCCTGGTTTGCTCATCTGCACCCCGGCCTCCTCTGCGCGGATCTGGGGATGTCTGCGTGCAGCCTGCGGTCCAGAGCCCGGCCCCAGGAGAGCCCACTCCCGCTGCATGGACGGGGAGCGAGCCCCACACCGCACGGAAGCTAGAGCCGCTCCTCTCCTTGGCCCCGTGCATTTCCTAGGTTTTCTTCCAGGCAGTGTGTAATCAAAAAGGTTTTCCAAAAAGTAAAACCGTGCATGGAATGAATGAAAACGTTCTGCTGAGAGAGAAGTCGGGCACGAAGGCCACAGAATCTACATTCCATTTACTTGAAATGCGAGAGAAGACCGAGCTGTCGGGGCAGAGGGCACAGGAGCAGGTGACTGGGAGGGGGGCAGCCGGTCGGACGGAGCCCGGGCCTGCCTGCGGCTCGGCCGTGTGGACTCCACCCTGAAGCTTCAGGAATGTGCGCGCGTCTTCAGAACGCTGGCAAGGGCTCAGTGCTTAGAGGTCGCGCCTCTGCGGGGAGGCGGCCGCAGCTGTTGGGGACGCTGACTAAGCCCCCGGCTCGTCGGCTCCGAGCTGGTGCCTGAGCTGACGCGGGAGGGAGGGACGCCGTCCACGTGGCTCCTCAGCCGGCGCGGGAGCAAAGGGGGCCAGGGAGGTTCTCATTGGTGCTGCCTGCCGGCGGAGACAGACGAGGCGTGCCGGGCGTGCCGGCCGTTCCGGAGCTCCTGAGAGCGGCACGATGAGCACGGCAGAGGTCGGTGGGACGCACTGAAGGCCGCTGCTGCGAAGCCAAGGGCCAGAGGAACGGCCTCGCCATGGAGAAGTTCAAGGCTGCCATGCTGCTGGGGGCCGTGGGGGACGCGCTTGGGCACAGAAACGCCCACAAGGACAGCAGTGCCTTGGGCAGGAAGGTCCAGGAGGGGCCGCAGACAAGCGGGGGCCTGGACCACCTGCTCCTCTCCCCAGAGACGTGGCCCGTGAGCGACAACACCATCATGCACCTGACGACGGCCGGGGCCCTGACCACAGGTGAGCCCCCCCCCCCCCGCCGGCCCCCCCCCGCCCCCCGCACCAGCGCCCCTTCGCGCGGCCCCTACGGGTCGTGTCACTGCCTGTCTGCCGTCAGCCTCCGAAATCGTGACTCTTGGTTCCTGTCTGTAAACGTGTCTCCAGAGTGAATCTGTTTGGGGAGAGCGTTCCACCTTTCACGGCAGACAGTAAGCCCTCCGATTTTTTTTTTCAAAAGAATAGGAAATAATAAGCCCGTTTGAAATTTGGACCCATTAAGATAATATTGTTTGGGGATTACTTCTAAATCCCAATGAATTTGAGTCAAAACGCCATCTCCCAAAATAGGATTCAGATATCTGCTTAAACAGAGCGCGTCCTGGGGAGATGCGGTGAATCTGGGGGGACGGGGGCGGGGAGGGAGCAGGTGGACGGCAGGACCGTGTGTTTGCACGACTTACAGATAAGCGCGGCTTTCCCACAAGGTTCAGGCTACCAGCCTGTGCGTGCTATCAGTGGGCAGCTGCAAAGTGAACGCCTGGGGTGATCATGAGGCAATGAGGCCCGGCCTCGGGCCCGCGCCGTGAGCTCACTCAGCTTAGCTCTGTGCTCATCCTGCAGGAATGCTGGCCGCGCCGCGGCCGTTCCAAAATAACCCGGGCGAGGGCTGGGGCACACAGATAAGATAGCGTCATGGTGCATTGAGTGGTGGGGCGCCTCTCTGAGTCTACACAACCGTGACATCCGAGTATTTCCAGTTTCTCGTGTTCTCAGGCTAACCGAAGCAGGGACGCCCGCCCGCCGGCCCCAAGACCCTGCCGGCGTGCGTGTCTCCCAGAGCAGAGCCCTGCGTGTTGGGCTGCACGCAGCTGGTCCTTGCTTCCTCCACGGTGTCTGTGGCCGGGCACGTGTGCTCGGTCCCCCATGTCCTGCGCTCGTCTCTTTGGTGAGGGCAGAGTCCACGGCGTGTCTGCAGTCGCCAGCCGACCAGGACCTGCTCTCTGAGATTAGATTAAGCCCTCCTGACAGAAATAGAACAGAATCTGCCCCAATGTGAAATGTGGGAGGACAGGGGTGTTTGGGGCCTTGTTTCCAAGCAGACACGTGCCCCCTGCCTCTGGCCGTGGGCGGGGGGGGCCGCTGTGCCCTCAGCACCGTCTGGCCCGCCAGCCTTGAGGGGACGCTGGTGAAGACCGCCCCTGACTATGAGCCTCCAGGAGCTCAGCAGGCATATTTTTTTCCAAGTCACTAAAAATCTAAGTTGAAATTTTATTTAAATGTAGTTGTCAAACAGCTGGATCTTTTTTCAATAAATAGCAAATTGTTGGGGCAGCTGGGTGGTTCAGTCGTTAAGCGTCTGCCTTCGGCTCAGGTCATGATCCCAGGGTCCTGGGATGGAGCCCCGCATCGGGCTCGCTGCTCGGCGGGAGGCCTGCTTCTCCCTCTCCCGCTCCCCCTGCTTGTGTTCCCTCTCTCGCTGTGTCTCTCTGTCAAATAAGTAAAATTTTTATTAAAAAGTAGCAAATTGTAGCCTATAAAGGGGCCTCTGAGCCCCATTTGCGGGGACCACCAGCCCTGGTTGCTCTGACCCTGCCTGTGTCCTCGTCTGACCCTCACATCACCCTGAGGGTTGACATCGTTATTACAGCCCGTCCAGACACAGGCACGCACAGAGAGGGGTCGGGTAGCTGGCACGATGCCCCACAGCCACGGCATGAGCAGGGACAGGACAAGATAACTCGCTTCCAACACACCAGCTCCTCAGCGCCGTCCCAACCGCCTGCCGTCAGTGGCCGCACAGGGACCTCGAGGATCCTGACGGACGGTGGTTCTTCACCACTTTTCCCAAAGACCCGCAGACTTCCATCAAGTGGGTTGGTATTTTTAAGTGCGGCCCCCTGTTCCGTGCTGTGAGGGCGTGGGGTCCTGCCGTTGTGAGGGAGATGCCGGGTCGTGGACAGCCCGCGTGACCTCCTACTTTGGGCCGTGTCTCTGGCACATGCAGAATTGGATGAGATCAGATCCTGGCCCCGGAAGTGGTGTCCTGTACCCCATAGGCCAGTGGGCAATCCAGTCTCCACAGGGTGCCCCGCGTGCCCACTGCACACACCACAGGCTGGTGTGTGTGTGGCCCTGTGCCCGTCACCCAAGGATGGGGAGGCCCTGGGGCCTGGCGCTCCCTGGCCCTAAAACTCGTGAGCTTGCTTTCCCTCCTGCCCTTCGGGATGTTGATGCCTTCGTCACAGGGTTAAGTGAGATTAAGTGGGGCAGTGCGTGCACGCAATCAATTATTTTTTTTTTTATTTTTAAGATTTTATTTATTTGCGAGAGAGAATTAGAGACAGCATGAGAGGGAGGAGGGTCAGAGGGAGAAGCAGACTCCCTGCTGAGCAGGGATCCCGATGTGGGACTTGATCCCGGGACTCCAGGATCATGACCCGAGCCGATGGCAGTCGCCCAACCAACTGAGCCACCCAGGCGCCCCACACGCAATCAATTATTAAGGGAAGATGGCTCATGGCAATGTAGTTAATGCCTGTCTTTCTAAGTGTCCTGGTCTGAGGGTCAGCAGCTCCATCTGCCGTGGCCACACAGGAGGAGTGGGGGCGTGAGCCCACTGGGGACCACGGCAGGTGCCATGGGCATGTCCTACCTGCAGAGGAACGTGGGCCTGGCCCACATGTGAGCAGACCAAGCCTGTCCAGACTCACCCTCTCTCTTCCTCCATCACTGGCTCCCTGATGGTAACAGCATTTTGAAAAGTTGACATTTTTACTACAAAGCAAGTTGATAAGGGTAGTGTGCCTTTTCTTTATGGTGACATTGGTTGGGAGACATGTCTCTGAGGAGATTGGGTGGGAAGGCGGAGAAGAATGGGCTGGAAAGCCATGTCACAAAGTGGAGAAACTCTGACAAGGGGTCCGCGACATTGCAGCTTTGGAAAATCCACTTCTAGTTTGAATTTTAACCTGAAACAAACAGAAGACTGTTGCCATTTTGTTTTTAAGGAGGTTTTTTTTTTTTTTCTTTGAGAAGGATGTGATTCCAGAACAAAATGAATTATTAGAGGGACTCTGGAAAGGCCAGGCTTGCTAACCCGGATCGAGCTAAGACAGACGCTTGTAAGGGAGGTGCTGGTTCCCCAGGGTCAGGACGACCCCCGCGGCTGCGAGCCCCGCCAAGCCCACTCCTCCCGCCCCTGGGTGGGCCACACACTCTCCATCCCCACTCAGACCCGGGCCACGCATGGTGCGTCCCACAGGATGCCCGCCATGTGGAGCTGGGGACAGAAGGACTGAGGACCGAGTCCTGCTTCCAGAGCTTCAGGGCCCGAGGGCCCACCGGCCCTGATGGTGGCAGGAACTGCGGCTCCAGTCCCAAGCAGGGAGAGACTTGGCGAGTGCACCTGTCTCCCTCACCCCGACGTGGGAGTCCAGCCCTGGGGTGGCCGAGAGGGGGCTCCCTCCTTCCGTCCTCCCCTCTCACACACCCCCCAAAAGTTGGGGTATGCGCCCCACACAAAAGAGGGCAGTCCCGGCTCCTGAGGCCAGCCCAAAGGCCTGAAATGCAGTTTGGGTACAGAATGAGTTTGCTGGTGGCTATGAAAGTCACATTGGCGCCCTCCACCTGCCCAGCTGGCCCAGCACAGTGGCCCCTCCACCACCTGGCCCTACTCTCTGATGGAACAAGGCAAATGGGACCCCACATTTGGACTTTGTGGCCTCCATCCACCACACTGCACATTTACTTGATGACAGCAATGCTCAGGCCTTGCACCCGAACTCCGTTTACCATCATCTCTGGCCTCGGGCAAGTGGCATAACCCACTGAGCCTTACCTGTAACCCCAACACGACAAGACTGGCGGTGTTGGGGGGGGCGCCTGCAACCATCTAGGGGCAGTGCCCCCCAGACAGCAGGTGGACAGTGCCTTAGCTCCTCTGCCCTCCACGTCCCTGAGCCTCGAGGGACTTGAGACCACGCTTGTCCCCAGGATCAGATCCTGGCCCCGGAAGTGGTGTCCTGCACTGGGTGCGGTTTGGGACAAACTGGGTCTGCAATGGCTGCTTCACAGGAGGGAGAAGGCAGATGGAAGTGCAGGGGTTCAGCTCCCTGTGTGGAGACACGGGCTTGTGAAACCCCAAGGAAGAGGCAGATCTCAGGCCGGTTTGTCCTCATGTGGATAGAACTGTTGGCAGGAGATGAGGACTGTGGGTTTTGTCTAGATTCTCCTGTGTAACCAGAATGAAAAGCACAATCACAAACTGTAATATCTGAATTCTAAGTACAATCTAGAGTGAACTGTGTGCATGCTGCACGTCTCTAGGGAGCCAGGACTTTGGGAGGTAGGTCGCCAGAAGCTTTCTCCTCTTCTACCCACGTGGGGACACGGAGCTTCCTGCCACCCCGGGGGCTTCCTGCTCGGTCTGACCCCGTCCTCCTCTTTCCTCCCCAGACTACTGGTGCCTGGACGACCTGTACCGGGAGATGGTGAGACGCTACGTGGAAGTCCTTGAGAAGCTTCCGGAACATTGGGCAGACCCAGCTACCCTGGAAGGCTGCTCGCAGCTGAAGCCGGATAACTACCTCCTCGCCTGGCACACACCTTTCAACGAGAAGGGTCAGGGAATGCTTTCTTGCCCCCGCAAAGTGCGTGCTGGACAGCCGCCTGGACACTAACCTGTGTGTCGTCCACTAACCAGCAGCACTGCAGGTTTGCGCAGCAGAGAGGGACGGGCTGGGGCCCCTTTGGGCCGCAGCGTGCCGCCCAGCTGTCTGCTCGACACCAACCCTGGGTTCATCTTAAGGAATACTTTGGACTGCTTTCCCTTTAAGTTTGTATTTTGCCAAAAAGTCAGGAAAACATATACTAGCAACATAAAGGTTTGTCTCTAGGATGTGTTTAGAGGTGACATACGCAGTCAAAGTCTCTGCCTCCGTAGCACCTGCTCCTGGGTCCTAGACCTACCCCTCTAGGTTTATAGAGGATGAACTTGCCCCTTGGGGTTTCTACTGAGGATGGACCCCCCCTTGGGGTTTATACTGAGGATGGACCCCCTTGGGGTTTATACTGAGGATGGACCCCTGTCTGGGTTTATACTGAGGATGGACCCCCCCTTGGGGTTTATACTGAGGATGGACCCCCTTGGGGTTTATACTGAGGATGGACCCCTGTCTGGGTTTATAATGAGGATGGACCTCCCCTTGGAGTTTATACTGAGGAGGAAACCCCCTTGGGGTTTATACTGAGGATGGACCCCTGTCTGGGTTTATACTGAGGATGGACCTCCCTTTGGGGTTTATACTGAGGAGGAAACCCCCTTGGGGTTTATACTGAGGATGGACCCCTGTCTGGGTTTACACTGAGGATGGACCCCCCCTTGGGGTTTATACTGAGGATGGACCTCCCCTTGGGGTTTATACTGAGGAGGAAACCCCCTTGGGGTTTATACTGAGGATGGACCCCTGTCTGGGTTTATACTGAGGATGGACCTCCCTTTGGGGTTTATACTGAGGAGGAAACCCCCTTGGGGTTTATCCTGAGGATGGACCCCTGTCTGGGTTTATACTGAGGATGAACCCCCCCTTGGGGTTTCTACTGAGGATGGAACCCTGTCTGGGTTTCTACTGAGGATGGACCCCCCTTGGGGTTTCTACTGAGGATGGACCCCCCTTTGGGGTTTATACTGAGGATGGACCCCCCTTGGGGTTTATACTGAGGATGGACCCCCCTTGGGGTTTATACTGAGGTTGGACCCCTGTCTGGGTTTATACTGAGGATGGCATCCAATCATGTTACTTGGCATGAAAGAAGCAGGAAAATATAATCTATATTGAGGAGAAAACTCAATCGAAACCAATTAAACCTGATGCAGAGGTTAGAGTTATCAAACAGGTATAAAATAGTATGTATTCCATAGGTTGAAAAGTTAAGTAAGGACATGGATGTATAAAAAGAACCTAAATCACATTTCCAGAAAAAACACTACAATGTCTGACTTTCTAAATGCATTGGCTGAGATTAACAGCAGATTAGGCATTTCAGAAGAAAAACCTGGTGAGTCTGAAGGCACGGCAATAGAAACAACCCAGAAGGGGGCACAAAGGAAAAAGAGTCCAAAAGTATGAGAAGAGCACCAGTGAGCCATAGGCAACTTACAGCAACCTCACGTGCCTGTGACAGGGCTCCACACAGAGCGGAGGGCAACAAAATGATTTGAAGAAATGGTGGCCAAAATCTCAGAAGACACGAACAGACATTTCTGCAAAGAAGACATCCAGACGGCCAACAGACACACAAAAAAGTGCTCAACATCGCTCGGCATCAGGGAAATCCAAATCAAAACCTCAATGAGATACCACCTCACACCAGTCAGAATGGCTAAAACTAACAAGTCAGGAAATGACAGATGTTGGCGGGGATGCGGAGAAAGGGAACCCTCCTACACTGTTGGTGGGAATGCAAGCTGGTGCAGCCACTCTGGAAAACTGTATGGAGGTTCCTCAAAAAGTTGAAAATAGAGCTACCATACGATCCAGCAATTGCACTACTGGGTATTTACCCCAAAGATACAGATGTAGTGATCCGAGAGGTTACGTGCACCCCGATGTTTATAGCAGCAATGTCCACAATAGCCAAACTGTGGAAAGAGCCAAGATGTCCATCGACAGATGAATGGATAAAGAAGATGTGGTGTATATATACAATGGAATACTATGCAGCCATCAAAAGGAATGAAATCTTGCCATTTGCAACGATGTGGATGGAACTGGAGGGTATTATGCTAAGGGAAATAAATCAGGGAAAGAAAATTATCATATGATCTCACTGATATGTGGAATTTAAGAAAAAAAAAAGATGAACAAAGGGAAAGGGAAGAAAAAATAAAATAAGATGAAATCAGAGAGGGAGACAAACCATAAGAGACTCTTAACTCTAAGAAACAGACTGAGGGTTGCTGGAGGGGAGGGGGGTGAGGGGAGGGGGTAACTGGGGATGAGCATGAGGGACGGCACATGATGCAATGAGCACTGGGTGTTCTATGCAACAGATGAATCCCTGAACTCTACCTCTGAAACCAATAATACACTATATGTTAGCTAACTTGAATTTTAATAAAACCCCCCAAAAAGGGAAAAAAAAAGAAATAGTGGCCAAAATCTCTCCAAATTTGATGAAAACTGTAAACCCACAGATTGAAGAAACTCAGTAACTTCCAAGCACAGAAACATGGGGAACACTACACTATGGCACATGGCATTCAAATTTCTCCAAACTAATAATAAGGAGAAAACCGCGCTGTGTGCTGACAGCCCAGGGAGGAGGGTGTGGGTCTCTTGTGAGAAGCAGGTCATGTGGGCACCAAACACTCACCTGGAGTTCTCCCAGAACAGAGTCCTACAGAAGCAATGGCCACATAGCCCTTTCCAGGCAAACAGAAGCTAAAGGGCTTCATCACCAGCAGTCACACTGTGAGGAAGGTTAAGGGACGGCCGTCATTCGGGCAGAAGGAACCGAGCACAGAATGGAATCCACAGGAGAAGAACTTCGATGGAAATCGTAATCACATGGCTAAATAGGGAAGAATTTGTAACTTACTACTGAAATCTCTTCAAAGGATCTTCGACTTCAAAACTGGTCGTGTACCGCGGGTTTATAAAGTGCTCGTGAGCAGGTGTCGGACGCAGCGTGGCGGAGGCCGGCTGGGGAGGGTGGAGGTGAGCGGCCCCACGGTGCTTGTCCGAGGCGTGAGGGGGCTGTGGTAAGTTACAGGCGGGGTACTCAGCCCCACAGCAACTATTAACATCACAAGACAGTTGTAACTAATAAGCAAACGAAAGAGAAAGTGGAATCTTTTAGAAGTATTTGCCAGGGAAGCCGCCGCAAGTGACCCGAGTCCCAGCCTGGAACGCTCCCGTCTGGGGAGACCAGGTGCAAGGTTGTCCCTTGGCCTTGGACTCTTCCACCTCATCAGGGGAACACTTCCGCTATTCCAGGTATGCATGACCTTCCCTGAACTGCTGAGCGTCACACAGCCCTAACCAACGCCGCAGGAGTGGCTGCCCCGCAGGGAGAGAACGGGCCTCTGCTGCGGCACGAGCCCCACCTCGGCTTCAGGACGCGCCGCCACGGGAGAGCAGAGCATGCTACCAATGCAGGTTTTCCTGCGTGTCTTCTCTTTCCAGGGAGGGAAGCGTCAACCCTGCGTCCCTGTGTTGCGTCCTCCTCTCGCAGAGACCAGAGACCAGAGAAGAGGGCCGAGGCCTGAGGGCTCCTCCTTGTGGTGGCGGGCGTTGCCCCCACATGGTGGGCATCTCATCTCACTGCTCAGGAATATTCGACCCAAAATAGGCAGACAAGAGAGAAAAGGAAGCAAAAACAGGACGACAGACTTGACCCTGATCACATCAGTGATCACATCTAATGTAAATGGTCTAATGACTCCAAATAAATGGCAGGGGCTCAGGTGGGAGGAAGAAGCAAGTCCCAGCTCTAGGCTGCTCATGGGAAATGCACTTTACATATGAAGGCACAGGTAGGTTAGTCGGAGGAAGGGTTCACCATGCGAACACCAGTTGGAGGAAAGCTTGCTCTGTTAATATCACAAAAAGCAAGTTTTGGAGCAAAGACCACTGCCGGGGAAAAGAAGGCAATTTCTTTCTTTTTTTTTTTTTTTAAGATTTTTATTTATTTTTTGACAGAGAGAGACAGCGAGAGAGGGAACACAAGCAGGGGGAGTGGGGGAGGGAGAGGCAGGCTCCCCGCCGAGCAGGGAGCCCGACGTGGGGCTCGATCCCCGGACCCCGGGATCACGACCCGAGCCGAAGGCAGACGCTAAACAGCTGAGCCACCCAGGCGCCCCAAGAAGGCAATTTCATCATGACAACACACCTGTTCACCAGGAAGACACAGCCAACCCAAGCATTCGTGTACTAACAACCAAGCTGTACAATGTAGGAGGCTGAAGCCGATAGAACTGCAAGAGAAATAGACAAACCCATGATTGTGGGCAGAGAATCAATATTAAGGCCTCAATATTCACATTGAGAGACTGGAGAATAAAGGGCAAATTAAACCCTTCAGATCCAAGTGGAAATCAGTGCCACAAAACAACAACAACAACAACAAAAAGACAGAGAAAATTGACAAAATCAAATGCTGGTTCTTTAAGAAGATGAAGAAGTTGACGAACCTAGAGCCAGACCAGTCAGGACAAAAGGGGACCCAAAGTGCCAGCGTCCAGCGGAGAGGCGATCTCCGCTAGAAGATCATTTGACAGGAAATAAGGGAATATTATTAAAAATTCGTTCCAATAAATTTAACAACTTAGATGAAATGGACAAGTTCCTCGAAGGACACAAACTGCCAAAGGTTACTCGAGAGGAAGTAGATCATCTAAATAGCACTATATCTGAGAGAAACTACAAAGAAAACCCCAGGCTCAGACGGCCTCACTGGAAAATTCTACCAAACAGCTACAGAAGAAAGAGAACCAGTTGCACACAACTCTCCCAGGGAACTGAAGGGGACACATGCTCCCCAAATTCATCCTGCTCTCCAGAAGACGGTTGAAAGAATAAAACAGCAAATCACAGATTGGGAGAAAATACTTGCAAAGCACACATCTGATAAATACTCAGAACTCTTAAAACTTAATAAGAAAACAAACAACCCAAAACAGAAACGAGAGAAATATTAAGGGAGCAATTCCCCCAGGAAGAGACAGGAGTGGCCAACAAGCACATGAAAATATGCTCAGCACGATTATTCTTAGGAAACGAGACACCACCACGTATGCTGTTGTGGAAAGACTGACCGTGAAGAGCATCAGGGGCGAAGAGGAGCTGCCGGTGGGACATAGAACACAACAACCACTTTTGGAAGCCTGTTTGGCAGCTCCTCCTCTCATCCGTCGGGTGAGCTAAACGGTCCAGTCCGAGGAGTCTGCCCGCGAGAAAAGAAAGCGTGTGTCCGTACAAAGATTTGGTTAGGAGTGTTCACAGGTCGTCCACCAATGGAAACAGCCTAGGCATCAGCAGGTGTTGGCAGGTATTAGCAGGTGGGAGGGCAGGTGTCAGCAGGTGGGAGGCCACGTGTCAGCAGGTGGGAGGCCAGGTGTCAGCAGGTGGGAGGCCAGGTGTCAGCAGGTGTCAGCCGGTGGGAGGGCAGGTGTCAGCAGGTGGGAGGGCAGAGTGGCAGCCGCTCCGCACGCAGAGTCCACCCAGCTGGAGAAGGGGTCAGCTATGCCGCAGGACGGCTCGGATGTGTCCGAGTGGTCACCCTGGGTGAAAGATGCCAGGCAAAAGAAACCATCTTCTGCGTGATGCCACACACATGCAACTCTAGGAAATGCATACGGACCTGTGGCCCCGGGTCTGTGGTGGGTGGGAGGGCAGGAGGGCACGAGAAGATCTTTGGAGCGACTGGCGGCCAGGTCCACCATCTTTACCGGGGAGCTGGTGCCGCACATCGCCCCGCGTCACAGCGGGACCCTGTCACACCCGGGGCCCTGAAACCCGCGCATTTACAGCTCAGCTGAACTCCCTTCCCAGAGAGCAAATGTGTCCAGCTTAAAGCCTGCTGTCTGCAGCTCTGTGCACCACGTTTTCCCTGGAGAGCATGTTAAGAGCACTTGCCCAAGCCATCAGAAATTCTGGGTTCAATGCCGGAATAACGTTCCAACATACGGGAGCTCTGCAAGTTGCTTACTCTGTGCTCCTTGTCGGGCATTTGGGTCGTCTGCTTGTTTTCACTCACGTAAATGACACTGTGATAAGCATTCCATACGTGTTCGGGTTACATGTGAAAGTTCGGTTGCCGGAGGGGGTTATTGGAGCACTCGTCTGAAACTGGGCATTCTGTGTTCCGTGTAGGCTCGGGGTATGGAGCCGCCACCAAAGCCATGTGCATCGGCATGCGGTACTGGAAGCCCGAGCGCCTGGAGACACTCGTGGAAGTGAGCGTCGAGTGTGGCAGGATGACCCACAACCACCCCACAGGTGACGCTTCCTGTGTGGCGCCCGCGGAAGCCCTACCCACCGTGTGGTCCGTTTGCCTGTCGGCGGACTTGGCCTTCTCCGTCTTCAGGTCTGCTTACGCTCTGTTTTCGACCTAAAAGCAGGCCTGGCATGGAGCGTGGCGATGCTGGAGGGGAGAATCCCCAGCAGGTGCAGGGCCGTTTGCGCCAGGAAGAAAGAGCAGCCCCAGTTGTCTGAGGGAAGCTGGGCTTTGGGTTGACGTCCTGGGCATGCACATTTATGTCACAAGCGTTGGGCACCATCTGCTGCCAAGTGCTGCCCCCGGGTGGGGCCTGAGCCAGACCAACACTCACGGGCCTCGTGAGCGGCACCCCTTCACCACCCGTGCCTCTGTTTGCCCACCTGGATGGAGGCGCTGGGAGCTGGGTCTCCCTGAGCACGAGGAGAGAGTGGGTAGAACAACGGGCCTCTTGGCTGGTGCTTCGGCAGCTGCACCCCGGGGTTCCCCACCGCATGTCCAGCACACGGAGGGAAGGCAGGTGGGGCCCCAGCTGACCGTGAGTCATGACCTAGAAGGGCAGGCAGCGCCTAAGTTTAAGAAAGAAGGACTTGGAACTCCCACACCTGTAACCACCTTGAATCCTGGCAAGGCAAGTGGCGTGCCCTCCCCAGCCCCTGCAGGTCCACAGACTGCTCGCTGCTGCCCAGCCACTGTTCCTTCTTTCAAGGCCACTTTTTTTTTTTTTAAAGATTTTATTTATTTTTTCAACAGAGAGAGAGAGAGAGAGAGAGAGCACGAGCAGGGGAGAGGGAGAGGGAGAGGGAGAAGCAGGCTTCCCACTGAGCAGGGAGCCCGACGTCCACTGTTCCTTCTTTCAAGGCCACTTTTTTTTTTTAAGATTTTATTTATTTTTTCAACAGAGAGAGAGCACGAGCAGGGGGAGAGGGAGAGGGAGAAGCAGGCTTCCCACTGAGCAGGGAGCCTGACGTGGGGCTCGATCCCAGGACCCTGGGACCATGACCTGAGCCAAAGGCAGATGCTTAATGACTGAGCCACCCAGGCGCCCCTCATATAATTTGTTTCTAATGAAAGATTTGATGAAACACTGAGGGTTTGGTGGCATGCGGGCAACGCCAGGGAAGGCATGTCGGCTCCTGTCCAGTGTTCCAGATACGGCTGGCTGCAAGCGTCATGGTCGTGTTACCGTGTGCGCGTCCTAGATGCTGGATACCCAGAGGGGGCGGGGTGATGGCAGGTGGTCAGCATGGTAGTGGGTCTGAGAACGGGACCCTCACTCCCAGCCCATGGCAATGCCTCCCAGAGTGGCCAGCGAGCCACTGAGAGCATCTCTGGAGATGGCCATGCCCTTTCCTGCGTGGCTGTGGTCTCCGTGCGTCTTGGGCTGGCCTGGCGGCGCTCCTCTGTGCTGAGAACCATCTGTCCCCACGACGGCCCTTGCAAGGGGTCATGGCACCCCTTTGTGCAGGAAACAGAAGGCCAGCGTGCACAGGGCAACGGCCCAGGACGCGAGCCCAGATGCCATCGTTGTGTTGTTCTGCCCCCCGCCCTGCAGGCTTCCTCGGGTCCCTGTGCACGGCCCTGTTTGCATCATACGCTGCACAAGGGAAGCCTCTGGAGCAGTGGGGCAGGGACATGATGCGGACGATCCCGCTGGCTGAGGAATACTGTAAGAAGACCATCCGGCACCTGGCAGGTGAGCCCGGCCCCCCTTCCTGTCGCACTTGAACGGGTTGCTCTGATTCAGCCTCGGGGCAGATTTGGACACACAGGGCTCCCAGACGGTTCACCCCACACTGAAACCGAGGGCTGACCCCACCAAGGGGGCCGGGGCACCCCTGGCGGAGGACGACACCTGCCCAGGGGACCCCAGTAGCCAGGAGACCCGGCACAGTGTGAGCTGCTGCAATCCGACCCCAGGCCTCCTGCTGTCTGACGGCAGCTGGAGAGACGAGAGGGGTGCATGCTTAGGTTTGGTTTTCCAGATGGTCCTTAAGTAGCCCATTCCCCGGAGACGGGCGAGGGACACCCACACTGACGTCTGCACTGCTCCTGCACCTTATGGACGGCCTGACCCGAAGTCTGCTGCCACGAAGGCCAGACGGGCATCTGTGCCCACTGGTGACATTTACACCCAGGAATGTCCCCAGTTACCTCAAACCCGCCGTCAAATGACACACACCCTCCTTGGCCCCCAGTGGGGTATCCATCAGCTTGTCCAGCAGAGGTCCTAGGGGATTGCGGTGCGGCTGCGGTTGGGCGAGTGGTGGCCTGACGGACCAGACGCGAGAAGCAGGTGCAGGACTAGGAAGCCCACGGCTTCTCCTCGGGCGGCCAGCCCTCCACAGGGCTCTCTCCCTCTGGGAGGGATGGGAGCTGCGTGAGGATGTTCTCAAGCTGTCCAGGAGGGTTTCTGGCGTAAGTTGCCGCGCTGTGCACCGTGAGCCAGGAGTTTCCGTCGGGCTGGCGAGGAGCCTGCCACGTTCTGCCGGCCCAGCCGCCTGCCGGAGGGACGCCCAGCGGCTCGTGTGTCTACACCTGCGCTGGCGTAGCTGCCGCCACGAGCGTCCCCTTCACCCTGTGGTTTTGGACGGTCCTTTCAACCCCTCTGGGCTTGCGCGCCGGGCGGTCAGCCGGGAGTAAGGAAACGCCTCCTCCCAGGCTGCGTTGCATCAGGGAAGGGATACAGGCTCAGAATTTTCAAGGGGATGCTCTTGGAAGCACTGCAGTCCCGGCCTTGGGTTCGGAATAGAGTCAACAAGGTTTGGGGTCGCTTTGGGCCCCGTCTCCACCTTCCTCACTCTGGTTCCAAAGTAGCTGCAGACACAAGCATGACCGAGCCGCAGAGCGGTCGCCGGGTGGGGCTCAGCCCCCACCTCCCGCCCTGCGCGTGCAGCCCACCCCGTTCTTTATGTTTAGAATACCAGGAGCACTGGTTTTACTTTGAAGCCAAATGGCAGTTTTACTTGGAGGAGAGAAAGATCAGCGACGACACGGGAAGCAAAGCTGTCTTCCCTGACTGCTACGACTCCGAGGCGAGGGACAAGGTGAGTCTTGCCGGGTCCGAGGGCTGGGGACAGGACTTGTCGGGGTCCCACGGCCTGGGGTTCCCGCCGTGTTCCTGCCACGTCTAGCGCCCGGCCTGGGGCTCCCCCGGCAGCAACCAGGGACCCAGAGCAGCCGCGGGGGCGGGTGTGGAAACCTTCCTGGAGGAAGCATGTGTGAAGCAGACAAAACTTTATCTTTCCATTTTCTCTCATTTAAAGCATGGTACGTGCTAAAAAGTTTGGGGAAAATGCGCTTGTTAAAGATGTTCCATTCCACTTCATTTTTTCTAGGGGCTAGGACTTAAAGTCGTACATGACGAATAAGGTTGTGCAGGCCCTTGTCCTCATGCTGAGAAGACCCCTAACTGGCTGACACGGTCAGCATCGGGTTTGGTAGCACAAGGGAAAACCCTGAGTCACTGTGGCTTAGCCAAGATAGACACTTACTACCCGTATGTCCACGGATGCCAAAGCTGAGTTGCAAGTCCCTTGCGGTGAGGAGCTGAGGACATTCTGTGTGGGCCCTCTGTCTTCTGAGGGCACACTGTCCTCCAAGCTGGCCACTCCAGCTCCAGCCAGAGCATCTGCATTCCAGGTGTCCAGACGGTGCAAAGGGAGAGGGAGAGGGAGGGGAGGGGAGGGGAGGGGAGGGGAGGGGAGGGGAGGGGAGGGGAGGGGAGGGCCCACCCTTCCTCCTCGGGTACTCCCTACCGCCCCTCTAAGTGCCCCCCAGGGACCTCCCCTGGACGCAGGAAGGCCCTGGTGTGCGGTCCTGCAGATGGTGTTGCCCCAAACCAAGCTGACTCTGTCTCCAGGGCACCGGGGTGCGACTGGCCAGTCTGCACTCCGGCCCCTGCCCGCTCCTGGCTCTCTCCAGCCTTTCCACTCATGGTGCACCCCCAGGCTTCATTCAGCACCACCACCTGGCCCACCCTTGCCCGCTAGCCCCATGCTCCGCTCAGACACGGGTCGCGTGGCTCCGTCACCACAGACTTGGCGGCTACTCCAACACGTGGTCAGGTTTGTTTGTCTTTGGAATGCCTGCATCCGTAGGAGCACGAGAAGGGGATCTTTCCCGGGCACGGTCACCCCAGTGACCGTGCGGCACAGTGAGTAGGTGCCCAGTGGCACCCTGGACGAACCCAGGAAGCTCACACTCCAGCCAATATTGGCTTCACGTCTCGCATGACCCTGACCCCTGGCTCTTCCTGCAGGCTTACCGAAAATGGAGCTCGGAAGGCCGAGGGGGCCGGCGGGGCCACGATGCCCCCATGATCGCCTACGACGCTCTCCTAGGAGCAGGCGACAGCTGGGCGGAGCTCTGCCACCGGGCCATGTGTCACGGAGGTGAGACTGCCTTCTTTAATGGTCTTGGGTTCCAGGCGACCAGCACCCCCTTCTCACCCCAAAGCACCCTCCCGGGATGTCCAAGGGCCCGGCCTCCTGAGCCCCCGGAATGTTTGTCCTTCTCTGGGCGTGGTGCTACCTCGAGTGGCCGTTGGAGTCGGGGTCATGAGAAAAGGGCACCTGGGGGAACCGGGGTGTGCGTCCCTCTCCTTCAAGGCACCGGGCTAAGAGTGGGGATCCTGCTGGTACAGATTCTGTAGCCGGAGAGGGCTCTGTAGCCCTTTGCATCAGGCGGCTGCGGGTTCAAGCCCTCCAGGGGCGGCTGGGACGAGGGATTCCCCGCCTCCCGGTGCCCGCTCTCCCCTGTGGGTGTGAAATGAGGGGAGTCCTGGCAAACACCACCTCGAGCTGAGCATGGAGTCTCCATGGGCATCCGGGCCCCTCGGTCCCTGGTGCTGAGGTGGTGGAGACGCCAGCGCCCGCAGACATGAGCTCCCCGAGTGCCCGGCCCCCAGGACGGCCTGGGCATCTGCACACATGTGTGTCAGGGTGTGCAAGGAGGGAGGGTGGGAGAGGGACAGCAAGTCCCCTGGGTTGGGCCCTGGGCGGGGGCTGCCCCGAGGGTCTCTGAGACGGGCCACGCCCGACCGCCTCGACCCTGGGGCCCCTAAGGACGTGCGTTTCATTCCAGGCGAGAGCGGGGCCACGGGGACCATCGCGGGCTGCCTGTTCGGGCTGCTGCACGGCCTGGACGCGGTTCCCACGGGCCTGTACCAGGACCTGGAGCACAAGGAGGAGCTGGCGCGCCTGGGCGAGGCTCTGTACCACCTGTCCACGGAGGAGAAGTAAAGCCCTCCCGCCACCGCCCCTCCGTGGGGAGCCGCGTCCAGCTCTGGCGGCCCACGGCCCTCCTGTGTGTGCGCCACGCCTCACTGGCCATAATCACATTTTAACCCTCTCCTCCCCCGATGTCAGAACCCTACCTGCCGTAGGAAATGCACTGTCTGTCCTGCGAGGATGTTTGTCCTGCCCTCACGTGGCCCGGAGGCATCACTGGCCCCACGCCGGGTCTGTGGCCCCGAGCCTCCAAACACGGGAGCACAAACAGTCTCGGGGACGATCGTGTATTTCACTCCGCGCACGACTAACGCTACGCGCTCACTCACGCCAACAAAACTAACCACGCCCGCCGTGCGTGGACCGAGCGCGCGTCCCCGCCGCTCCTGGCCTCAGACGCCGGCAGCCCACAGCGCGCTACTTCCAGCCGGCGTTTTTAATCACACTAGATCTTAAAATCAGCCCCTTTGGAAAGAGTGCCTGAGAAAACTGGGAAATAAAGGGTCCTCGTGCGTCCCCGCTTCTCCTTCGGTGTGGTCTGCAGCCGTCTCGCGGGCCTGCCAGGCCCGCCCTCGGCCTCCACCACCTGCTCCACCAGCCTTGTGGCTGGGGACCCGCAGCTGCTCGCCGTGGCCGGGGCGCCCCTGTCTGCGAGTCTTGAGGAAGAGAACCCTCGCTCTTGCTAGAAATAACCTCGGACACGGTCTTTCTGAAGTAGCATCTGGTGTGAATAAAAGAGCAATTGGTGTTTCACGTTTAACACGGAGCTCTGGCGGCTTGGCAGGGGCCGCTCTCTTCGTGGAAGGTGGCCTCTGAGCGTGGCCGGTGGCCCCCAGAGCCCGCGGGGTCGCCCCCTCGCTTCTCAGGACGGGGGGCGGTAGATCCGGGGGCGGCTGGCAAGGAGAGTCCTGGAGTAACTGAACTAACCTTTGCTGCTGCTGGTGCTTTTCTGTGGGAAGAGGCAGAAAGCCGCGTGGGGGGCTCTGGGCTGGGCGGCCCAGGCTTGGGGGGCGGGGACGGTGCTCAGCACAGCCTTCAGGAGCAGAGGACCGTGAAGGTAAGCTGCCATGCTCACCGTGGCCGAGCCATGTCCCGCCGACCCTGGCGGCTGGAGGCAGGCCCCAGGGGAGGGGCCCGGTCGGGCGCAAGGACACTCCGTCTCCATCGTACCCGCAGTTTAGGAGAATCCGATCCATCCTTGAGTCAGGAAGTGGGTCTATTCACAGGTTGATGATAAAACATTTCAGCAAAAGTTCACAGGACTCCTGAAAGGAGTAGACTGCCTCCCATCTCACTGCAGAGAAATGCACGCGCTGAAGAAAACAAGACCATAAACGTGATGAGGTGAACAGCGCACCTGCTCAAATTTTAAAACATTTAATACTTGTGATTTCATCCTTATTACAGAGGTAATGCACACACACGGCTTCTGAAATTCAAGTGCGGTGCGTACATGGTGGTTTGTGGAGAGCAGGAGGCTCCCAAACCCTCAGCCAGAGTCGCGCTCCCAGGCCCCTCGGGCGGCCCCAGAAGCGGCCTCTCGCGTACGATGCGGAAACATTTGTGCACACCTGCAGGCCTTCCTTTTGGCATTTTTTGGACCCTGTCTTTTTAGCCGCTGCACTTTCTTGGGCACCGTGATTCATGTAACTCAGTTGTTCCTGCTTCTGCCGCCCCGTGTCTGCTTTAGAATGTCGCTTCCGATCCCTCCTGCAGGATCGTTCATCTCCACGGTGGCCCGGCTTCTTCACATTGTGCGAGCAGGGGTCAGGCAGGTCCCCCCCGTGCAGATGGTGTGTCCCCCCCGCACCGGCTCTGCGTGGGCACATGGGCTTAGAGGCTGGGGCTCCAGACCGTGCTGGGCAGCGCCGGGCAGCCCCGTGGCCTCAGGGACATGCCCCCACTCCTGCCGTGGCCCCAATGTTGGAGCAGGTCCCCGCTCTGCTCACATGCGTCTAGACTTCAGGCTGATTTGATTAATCCGTGTCCCCGGACTCTCCGGTTAAGAGGTTTTGCATTTAGATGTTGAACCCTTGTTCCCAGTGTTTTCGTATCTGGAAGCCAGAGCGGCGGTGGGTTTGGCAGACATGCTGCCCCTCTGGGAGCTGGGTGCCCCCACCTGGTAAGTCCCCTGACATGATCGGAAGGGTCCACTCACAACGGCCTCGGCCTGGTTCTCTGGGACCGACCCCTCCGTTAGGGGGTCCCCAGGTTGGGGGCAGGGCGGCAGGAGGGGCTTTCACGGCCTAATGGACACAGGACGGTCAGAGCTGTTCGTGAATGCAGAATGTACACCCCGCTTCTGAGCTGCCCGGCAGCCTCCCCGATGCCCCCAGGCCCGCAGGCACCCAGCGCAGACAGCACCCGAGGCTCGGCCAGGTGTCCGCAGGGGGGAACTGGAAACACCCCCCGTTTCCGAGGAGGCCACTGGGGACACAGGACCTTCTCAGGGCCACAGCCCATGGGGACGCAGACGCCAGGGAGACCCCCCGCCCACCTGTCGGCTCTCGGCCCTGTGTCCATCCTGCCCCATTGTAATAGCTTGTTTTCAAGCACGTTAAAACACACAAAAAGCCACAAAGTGGCCCAAAAAGCCCCATTCAGCAGCTGCCCCGGCTGCTCGCGTGGGCTGATTGCTGCCGCGATAACCCCAGGCCACATTCGCCTGGTGTCTCTCTCGGTGATGCGGCCTGACGTGCCCAGCAGAGGCCGTGCCCCGGGAAAGAGGGAGGGGCACCCGAGAACCCTCGGCCTGCCTGCTTCTACCCCGGGGCCTCCATCCACCGGGGCTGGACCGACGCCCCTCTCTTCCTGCAGCCGGCCAACTGGGGGGCTCAGGGGCAGGGCTGGGGGCGCCGCAGCCCAGATGGCCGCCCACCACTTCTAGCCAGATTGATTTCTAGGAAAACACGGGCTCGGGTTCCCTGACCCTGACTCATGCACAGGTTCAGCTTCACTGCACCTCATGGCTCTGGGCAGCAGGACCGGCCTGGTCGGGGAGGTGGTCCCCCGAGCGCCCGCGGGGAGGGGCTGCAAGGGCGCGGGAGGGCACAGGCCGTGTGGGGCGAGTGGGCAAGTGTGCTGGGCCAGAGGGCAGCAGGGGGCAGGCCCGGCCCCAGGCTCACCCTCCGAAAGGCAGGGAAGGGTGCGTGCAGGTTGGCAAGGAGCAAGGTCCGCCGTGGGGGCGCAGCTCTCTGTGTGGAAGACAACGTGGGAGCAGTACTGTGGGGGTGATCCTGGCTGGCTTCTCTCCCCTTTCTTTCCGAGGATGCACTTGTCGGGGGGTGGTCCCTGCTGCCCTGGGACTCGGCGGTCTGTCCAACAGGGCCTAGGAGACCCCATATCTCAGAAGAGGACACGGAGGCCAGGGACGTCCCTTTTGCTGCCCGAGGACACGCTGACAAGGGCGGACCTGTGCCTGCTGATAAAGCAGACGGTGAAGGCCAGGCGCTGCCCACCAGGAAGGCCCCACTGAGACCCCCGAGGGACCTGGTACTGCTGGCCTTTTGGGGCCAGACTGGGGTGGAGGGTCTCAATCAGGGGGTCGTCCTGCACCCTGACCCTCCAGGCCCTGTATTTCCAGGTGACCTCTCGGTAGCCAGAGGTGCCAACGGAACCGCCAGGAAAGCTTGTCGTGGCCGTGCTACTCACGCTGGCCCCAGAGAAAGGTGTTCCGGTCCCAGCACGGGCTTGGGGAGGCCTGCCTGCACCAGCCGGCAGGGGCAGCTGCCCACCACGAAGCCGCGGACCCCAGACCGCCTCTGGGGAGCGCTGACCAGAGGGAAGCAAGCTGGCTTTGAGGCACACACGGCTGGTGCTCCCCACAACTGTCCTCGTCTGTGGTGCGCAGGGCCCGTCGGTCCAACATGCTGTTCGGGCTGGGCGTATGGGGCTCGGAGGAGAATGTGCTGGGCCTGCCTTCAAGTTCGGGGTCAGGCAGCCGTGGGAGGCCTGGTGAGTTCCCAGAGTGTCAGCCCCGCTGTGGGCTGGTAGGTAAACACTGACACAGAGGGGCGCTCGGCGTCGAAGCTTGGCGATCCCGGCGGGAGGCGTCTAGTATGGACGGCACAGAAATGGGGTGCAGTCCACACCGAGCTGCCCTCACTCCGCACCCCTTCCAGAGCTGCCTCCTGTTCAGACGGAGGGGTCCCGGCGCCCGTAGGCAAGGGAAGCTGCAGGGGCGCACGAGGCCACAAGGCTGGTCCTCGGGGCCTGTGTTCAGACGTCAGAATGACCCCACATCTAGTTCAGCCATCGAGTGACTCAGTCCCCAGTTGTGAAGATGAATGGAAGGGCCAAGTGAGCGATGGCCCCCAGGAGGGTGGCTGGCGGTGCGGCCGGCCCGTCCGGAGGCCCTCATCTGCATCTGCCCCAGGCCCCGCCTGCACACCGAGGTCCTGGGCCCCGAGGTCCCCTTGTGGGGTGCAGGTGGTAGGCTCTGCTGCAGCCAGCCTCCCCCCACGAAGCTGGGACCCGCGCACAACGACGGGCCCTGGAGGCAACTGCACGGTCACGGCGTCGGCCTGCTGCTCGGTCAGCCACGGGCTCAGCCCGCACTGACAGGTGCATCAGGTACGGAGCTAGGGTCTGGACTCCGCAGAGACGGGCGTCCGGTCGTCGGCCCAGGAGTCGGTCTGGCTGGGATGGCCCCACGCTCCAGGTGGGGCGAGGCTTCCGTGGGTGTCTTCCAGAGCGCGGGTCCCAGAAGGAGGGACGCGAGCGTGGACAGGCGGGCAGGGGTGCAGCACGGGGAGGTGGTGACAAGAACTCAGGGCCGCAGCCTCGCCTGCAGAGTTTGGACCCAGTTCTAGACACGGTGGAGGCTGGAGGAGCCAGAGCATGTGGGGGCACAGGAGGAGGGGTGGCCACGCGGCGGAGGGAAACTGGGATTGCAGAGCCTGGCCAGGTGGGTGGCAGCTGTGGGCCGTGGGGGCGCCGGGAGGGAGCTCAGCGCGTGCGATCTGCCTGAGAGACCGAGGTCGGGCCAGCTGCGCAGAGCCGGGTGTCCCGGGTGAGCCCCCCCTACATGGAGCCACGCGGACGGCGGGCGAGAGAGCGAGGTGAAGTGAGATGAGCCCGGGCAAGCACAGGGCACCAGCGGGGCGCACAGCCAGATCAACGAGGTCAACGGCAGAGCCTTGGGGTGAATTGCACTGAAGAGATGCGGGCCCGCCCGCCGCCTTGTGTCTCCGGGAAACGAAGCCGGCGGCCAGCCAGCTACCCGTCAGGCTGGGAGGCCACTGACCCCAGCGCTCGGTTCAGAGACAGAGCCGTGGTGGCAGTCAGGTCGGCAGGAGGGCCTGCGCTGATCAGGGTCCCACAGTGGCCGCTCCTCCCTGTTGCCGCGGGTCCCTGGATGCGTCTCCTCGGGGCTGCCTTCGAAGGCGTGGACACGAAGCTCGCGGGCTCTGGAGGAAGCCTGGACCGCGGAGCCCCGAGTGGCTGCCGACAACCTGCCTTGGCAGGAAAAGCGAGGTCTCTGGTGACCCTGCGGAGGGTAGCGGGCGAGAGGGCATCCCTGCAGGCCTGGGGGCGGGGGAAGCAGCGGCCGGGCGGTGACGCAGGCATGCCAGTTGGGCGTGCTCGAGAACCAGCGTGGAGGAGCCAAAGGCTCTTCGGCCTCCCCTGGTCCCAGGCCTGGGGTGTGGGCGGCGTGGGCGCCCCGTGTGCCCGGCGAGCCCCTTGGCAATCCCGCTGCTGACCGGCAGAGCTGTGGTCCCGGACTCAGCTGGTGCTCACTGTGTGCACGTGTGGACTCAGCTGGTGCTCACTGTGTGCACGTGTGGACTCAGCCGGCGGCCGCGCCGGCTCACACCCCTCTGGCTTGGGAATGGATTCAGGTTTCTGTTTTGTTTTAGGAGCCTAACCCCCCAAACCCACAGTTGTCTAAGGTTGGGAGAGAGCCCGACCTATCCCAGGGGTTCTCAAAGTGGGGTCCCCGGGCCAGCAGCCACCGCGGCTCGGGAGACTGGTGGGAAAGGCAAGTTCTCAGGCTCCTGGCGACGGCAGAGTGAGACGTGGTGGTGGTGCTGCCTGCACTCTGGGTCGTCGTGGTTGTCCGGTGTCTGAGGACAACTAACACAGCCCCTCTGCGCGAACTGAACGCATCCGGGCTGACTGGGGCTCTGGGGAGCCTGCGGGGGCAGGCGTCCACGGTCACGTCCCCCGAAAGGAGTGCTGCCGGGCACTGGGGGCTGCTCCAGGCACCTCCTCACAGCCGTGTAAGAGGACACGTATGGCCTCTATAAGCCCTCTTTTCTGGGAAATGCATAAAAGCACAAAAAGAAAAGTATCGTGTGTTTCCTTCCAGTCTGGCTTCTAAGCCCACATTGGGCCATGCAGTTTGCCGTTCCACCTTCGCCGTGAGCACTTCCCGAGCCAGGATAGCGCTCTCCTTCCGCGGGGATGTGCTGTGCACTAAAGGGCCCGGTGTTGCACGTTTAGAACGCGCCAACGTTTTCATGGCATCAACAGCAGCGTGAAGACCATCTGTGCAGGATGTGGTTCTTAGCTCTGCATGGCGATCGTCTGCTTGGAAGGAATTGCTGGAAGGCTGAATGGCTGGGCTCCATTCCGGTGCATCTTCAGAGACATGCCCCCGCCCACCAGGGAGGACCCTCCCGTGCCAGGCTGTGCAGGAGAGGGGAAGCCCCATCAAGTGCCCGAGACCCACCCCCAGGAGGCTTGTCAGTGGCTGGGTTGAGGTCAAGGGCCTGTGGCCGCCGTGCTGATAAGCGACTCGGGGGGACAGGGGCTCAGGCCCCTCAGCCGCGGGGTACCTCTGGGAGCATTCCGGGGCGCCCCGTGTGCCTGGCAAGTCTCATCTGCTCTGCTTGTCAGCAGAGACTACTTCCTCCAGCTCCAGGGTTCACGGCCCTCCGTTCCTGCCCCCATGACCTTCCCCAGCTGAGGCCCCCGTGGCCGCCCAGGGCCCGCTGTCTGTCCGCGGCTCTTGAGTCAGGATATAACTGTGGCGTTAACATCATTTCTCATACCTAAAGCTAGCTTTGCACAGAACCCCACAGAAAGTGTTACTTCTCTACGCTTACTTTTTCCCTATTCATACAAGTATAACATGTCCGTTATAAAACCAGTCAACCCCCCCAGCACACTTTCGCTTTCCCAAGGGCCTCCATGGAGCTATTAACACCGCTTCCCGAAGCCCTTGGAAGGACAGTGGGCTGGAAGTGGGCAGCGGACGGTGGCCCGAGAGGCCGTGCGCATCCCTCGTCTTTGCGTCTCCAGGCTTCCAGGCCTCTGTCCTCCCCCGGACTTTTGGGGTATTTGAAATGCGATTGCTCCACAGGAAATGTTCTATGGAGTCACCCTGGGAAAAAAACAAAGATAAAATCTGTGACGATTGATTTTTTTTTCCCTGCAGCTCCAAGCGCGGCAAGATTTGTGGTGGCGAGAAGCCCGTTGACGCCCGAGCCCTGAGAAAGAAGGTCAGCAGTGTGACGTGTGGCCTGGCCGCCCGAGCCATCCTCTATAGCCTGCTGCTCTACGTCACTGACCTCCAGGACAGGCCCCCGGAGCCGCCTCCCGCCAGGACGGCAGCCGGCGGGGAGAGCAGGGCCGGCCGCTCGCCCAGGAGCCAGGACGGCCAGCAGCGGCCCACCCGCTTCCAGCTCCTACAGGCCAAGTTCATGGGCGCGGGCCGCGAGCCCCGCCTCAAGAGGGCCCGGGAGGTGGGGAGGCTGATCCCCAAGGACAAGCAGGGCCCCGGCAGGAGCGTGGTGACCGCCACCATCAGTAAGCTCCTGGAGAAGGCTCGGGAGGGAGCCGGCCGCCCCCTGCAGGACCGGGAGCCACGCCACAGCCAGAAGCCCCGGCAGGGCCTCCCCGCCGGGAAGGGCACCGTGAAAAACATTCTGAAGATGTTCCTGGCCGCAGAGGAGAAGGAGGTCTGTGAGGAGCCCAGAGCGGCCAGGGCGCCCCTGCCAAAGCTGGCCACCAAGAGGGGCTCAGTCCTGTCCAAACTGCGGGAGAAGTTTGAGCAGAGCGGCTGTCTTTGCTCAGAGGCCAGGGTGCTGCCACTGCGCACGGAGGGGAGAAAGAAGAACCTGCAGAGGAGGAGGACGCACTGGCCCGAGACCCGCGTGCTCCGCACGGCCACCATGGCCAGCACCTGCATCCGGACACCACTGGCCCGCTTCCTGGCCTGCACCACGGAGCCCATGCTGGCCTTTAGCATCGCCACCGTCATCTGCGGCCCCAGGAGCTGGCTATCCCACTGCGCCAAAATCAGCCACTCGCATCAGGGGCGTGTGCCCAGCGCGGGGGGCGTGGCACCCAGGGGGAGTAGAACGGCGGGACAGAGACAGCCCGGCGGGGGGCCCGCACAGCCACCAGCACCCTGGGCCACGGCTCGCGCGGACAGCCCGGAAACGGTGTTCCTGGGTGGGGGGTCCCTGCCCGTCCCCGGGCCAGCCCCCTCCTCTGCCTCCCACAGTGGTGGGGCCCTTCCTGGCGGTGAGCCCCTGGTGTCCCTACTCAAACCAGCCAGCCCAGGGCATGCTGGGGCAGTGGGAGGCGACAGGACGGGGGACCCCCCTGCAGGGGACACTGCACAGCACACCGGGGCACCTGGGGAAGCCAGCGTGGGCCTGTGGCCTGGGCTCCCGGGTGCGGGAGCAGGGATGGCCCCCGAGGTTGCCCTCACAGTTTGCAGTTCTGAGGACGAAACAGAAGGAGTGACTCTAGGCTCGGAAGGAGACCCCCTGTTCGCTGTCCAGGAGACTTTCCCGGAACAGAAGGTAGCAGGACATATCCTGCCACTTCTGTTGTCCACGGTCCAGGCCCTGCGATGCACACAGTCAGCCGTGGGGTCTCCCCAGGTGACTGTCGCCCGGCCGGACACGCGCCAAATGTCACCACCTCCTGCCACGCTGCCCAAGGCCGTGGGGTCTCCCCAGGTGACTGTCGCCCGGCCAGACACGCGCCAAATGTCACCACCTCCTGCCATGCTGCCCAAGGCATCAGGTGGTAGAGACAAAGGTTCTAGTCTTCTGAGTGGTGGAGGCAGGGGTGGGGGTGGGCTTGAAAGCGCTTGGGTGCCATTTCCCACGGGGACAGATGGTGAGAGCACCAGGGCAGCCGGCATGGCTGGGGGCTCCCTTAGAGCCCTGAGTGTCCCGCCTGGAAGGGCCACCACCAGCGTGGATCAGGACCTCCCAGCGGCAGCTCCGCAGAGACGTCCCACCCGGGGAAAGGCAAATGGGCACAGCTTTGGGGATTCAAAGGAGCGCCGGCGTCCTGAGGGCCCGGCAGGAGAAGACGTGCCTGAGCGGGCCTGTGAGAAGCATCAGTGGCCAGCATCAGGCGACAGGCCGGTCTGTGGCAGGGATGCCCCATGGCATCATCCCATGGTCTCAGAGAATCGAGGGAGAGGGGACAGCTCCTCGGTCCCTGGCCGTCAGCAAGTGCTGCCTGCCGACATGGGACACCCAGCGGGCGTCTCAGCAGCGCTGGAGGCCACCCCCAGAGACAGGACCCCGTCTGACAGTCCCACCTCTGCGGACGAGCAGGTCCTGTGTGAGCGAGAGCTCAGGGGGCCGCCACTAAGGGGCCCTGCCCGGCCCGGCCCACGGGCTGCAGGGAGCACCAACCCCGGCCTCAGCAGCGACAGACCCACCTCCCTCAGCGAACGCCCCAAACCAACTCCCGAAGCCCCCAGGCGGGCGGCAGCCACAGGGGCCATGGAGAGTCACACCGCACCAGCGAGAGGTAACATCCCGAACCCCGTTAACAGCGCGGCCCCAGAGCGGCACCCAGTGCGTGAGGGACAGAGCCGCCCACCGCCTACACACCGCAGCCTGGCAGCCCCGGCCCTGACCCGGGCCGCCAGCCCCCCGCCCGGCTCGGCCCCACCCGGGCCCTGGAGGCACCTGCTCGCAGCCGCCCAGAGCAGCGCCTGTGGGGTCTCGGGGCAGTGCCAGCCCGAGGCCCCCGAGGCGCCGGCCACCGTCCCACTGGAGGCGGGGCCACGCACGAGCACCGTGGCCGAGAGTGAAGCTAGCGTGGTGGGGGGAGGCGGAAAGTCCGCAGCTGCACCCGGGAGCCCCTCGGGGGGAGACACGACCCCAGCCCCAGGCGGGGCTCACCCCACGCCCCAGGGCAGTGCCGCCGTGGGGCCTCCGCCCTCGCGCCCTGAGAACCAACAGGCCGAGGAGGACGAGCACGTCCCGCCCAAAGACCAGGTTCCTCCCGGCGCCGGGGCCCCCCACCAGCCTCCATCACCTGGAGCAGCAGAAGGAGGGCAGCGGGTAGGCGGGGCGCCCCACAAGTGCCCGGACCCCCAGGCACACGGGCCGCCTGCGTCCCTCACAAGGGCTGGCGTGAGGGAGGGAGTCGAGGTCGGGAACAGACGTCAACCGTGGGCAGGCCTGGGGGTGCCGGAGGAGGGGGCTGCGGGGCCCATTGGGCTGGATGGTCCCCCAGAGAAGGGGGTAGCTCTGTGGGGCCAGAAGCCTCGATCATGGGCTGCAAAAGAGGGTCAGACACGGCCCGGGGAGGTCGAGGGGGGCCGTGGCGTTGAGGTGGGGGCTACTGAGGTGGGGACGGGTCACCAACGCAGTGAGAAAGGCCCAGAACATGCGCAGGGGCAGCAGGTGAGGCGTGCAAAGAACCTCCCTCGGGGACACGGTGCCCAGGCTGGAGAGAACCAGGCATCTTCCCCCCCAGAGAAGCCGGGGCGCCCGGCACAGGCCCAGGCCAGCAGGATGGCGCCCCGCATCTCAGCAGGCCCCCCCGACAGCTCATCGGAAGCAGTGCCCACTGCAGGCGCAAGGGGGAGGTCCCGGGGACCGGCCCCCAGGGGCAGCCAGGCAGAGCCTAGAGCGCCACACCAGGTGGGAGAAAGCCAGCCCACGGTGGGCGGGAGCCAGCGGTCCTCCGGCCCCGAGCCAGCGCCTGGCTCTGCAGTGCCCGCACCCAAGCCCGGGGTCTGCGAGACGCCCTGGACCCCAGCCCAGGAGGGGCCCCCAAACACCCCGGAGGCAGGGAGCGGTGCGTCGGAACGTGAGCGCCACCGAAGGCTGGCGCACTTTGCCAAATATAGAGCCCAGAGCTTCGGCGACCAGAGGTCCTTTGATCTGTCCTTCAGACCGACAATTATCAGGGCCAACGACAAGTTCAAACTTCCCAAGTGAGGCCCCGGCTTCTGAACACGGACACGCCTGGCACCTCGGTTTCTGCGTCTTGGCCAGGCTGCTTTCCTGCTTCCAAACTACCCGGCCTCACACGTGTGCATCCAGGGAGCCGTGTGGCGGATCCCTTTCCCTCCAGGTAACTGGCCCCGGGATGGTCCGCGTCCCCGAACTGTGGAGTTCTGCACCGTCTTCCTGGGGCCCGTGTAGCTTCTTGGGGACGGAAGAGCAAGGATTAGGGACGCCCCAGGACATCAGGTGCTTGTCCCCGTGGGTCCCGCTCTTTACGGTGCTCAAGGGCACCCGGGTCCACATTGCTATCTCCACACAGAGCCATGTTGTTTCCACACCTTCAAACTTGCTGCTGAGCTTGTGTGCGTCTCTCTTGTCCTGTCTTGGCGGCCCGGGCCACCTGCCCTTTGTGGCGTCATCCGCAGGCGGCAGCCTCTCTGCTCCGCACGGGCCGGTGAGCTGCCCGCGAAGTGCGCTCGGGTTGGGACGGAACCAAGCACGGGGACACCGCGTCAGTCCCGCAGGAAGGGACGGTGCACAGGGATGGATGTTTCCAGAGGCACAGTCCCAAGGAAGTGTCCCTGTGGGCGCCACGTGCTGAGGACAGGGAACATCCATGGTGCCATGACCCACCTCTGCCCCCGGGGCCTCACTGCCAGTCCTCCTGCCCGGACCGTTCCCTCCTCCCCTGCTTCTCGATCTCTAAAGCATCTGCCATCTAGAATAGTTGAATATCCTATAGAAGTGTAAGGAAGGAAATAAAATCCCTGGTAACCATGTGGCCTCAGGGTAATTTCTGTCACTGTGGCGGGCGGCTTCTCCTTCACGGTCTCTAAGGCACGGCCACACTGGGGTCACATCTCGTGTACAGCGTTAAACTCCCCACGCTACAGCACACCAGGCTCAGGGCCGTCAGGCAGCCTCAGGAAAGCCGCCAGCTCTCGGGGGGACGGCGGCCCCGCGGCCCCGCACACGCTGCGCTCATGACACCCCGTCTGTGGAAGGGGTTCCTGCCTCTCGAGCACGCCCTGCTGTTGGCTGCCCTTCGGGTGAGCGATGTTCTAAGCAATGTCTACTCGTCCCGTAGAAGTTTCCTTGACGCTTCGGGCTGGGGCGTCCACGTGGAGAAGGTGCTTTCTGAGCGGAGCTCCGGGCGGTGCTCAGCCCTCGTCCGGTGCGGGCCGGGGCGCGGGCGGCTGCGGTACCTCCTCCTCCCCACGGTGCACGGAGGTTCTCGCGGGGCTAAGCAGGAGGCAGAGGGTCCACGCGGCCGCTGTGCCCCGTCCAGCCGTGGGCCCACTGCCTGCTGCCCGCCCCTCAGGACAGCGGTTCAAAGTCCGGCAGACCGGCACCTGCCACAGCTGTGGGGGCCCGAGTCCGGGAGTCCCGAGGGGTCGCCAGAATGTGCCAGGCCTCCTCCGTAGAGCAGAGACAGTGCCCCCCGCGCCGCGAGGGCCCGCGGTGGGACAACGTGCTGCAGCTGCCAATGTGTGCGGTGCTGCCCACGCCCTCGTCTGGGCACCTGGGAGCCCTGGGGGCACCTCGCCCACAGCCTCTGGCTCCTACTTGGAGTTGAGGGCCCGTGGGGACAGGGGCCGTCCCACCTCTGCCGGAGGACGGAGCGTCCCCTCCTGGGGGCACGCAGGCTGGGGGCGTCCGGTGCCCCTGCCCCGGGGGTCTCGGGAAGGCTGCACCTAGTTGGCTGGCTCCCTGGAGCTGCAAACCCTGGGAGGCGCCTGGGCTCACACTTGGGGCCGGGGCCCAGCAGAGCCGGGCGGCAGCGCCTGCTCACACCCGCTCACACCTGCTCATACCCGCGGCATCTGTGCGGGAGCTGGAGGGGGACCGTGTGCCACCGCCTTACTCACTGTCCTCCTTCTTCCTTCATCCTTCGTTCCAGAGGATCTGAGGCCATGTTTGGCAAAGAATGTGATGACAGAGGAGATAAAAATATTACATTCACTGAGTGTTCCCTTTTTAAAATAAGCGGTAGGGTTGTGCTGCTATTTTTAAATAGACCAGAAAGTCGGCTGGAGAATGCTCAGGGTGGCGTGAGTCCAAGCGGCGGAGCCAGACTCTGGGGGCACCTCGCAGCTTCAAACCGCTCGGCACCCAGTTCCGCTTGACTCCTGGCAAGCCCGGCGGACCCTGCTCCCTGTTCACCAAATCCGGCCGCACGTCCACGGCCCAGTTGTGTCTCGGGTGCTCCATCCGCGAATGCCCGCGGTTAGGATTCTACAGACGCAGCGTCTCTTCCTTATTTGAGTTTCAATCTCGTAATTATGTGATTATGTAATAACCCACAGCTGTTCAATTCCATGTTCTCTGCTTTATCCCCTTTTGTATACAAACACCTCTAAAATGGGTTTCTTAGGAAAAAACTGCGAATTATATTTTGTTGCATCTGTTGTGTTCTTCCCTTTGAATTTTTATTAACTTTATGCAGCTGGAGATAATTTCAAAACCAGAAATAAAATAGGTTTCCTATCACAGGTGGGGTGGGTCATCTTGGGGCCCTGAGGAAGCCTCCCTACGGCCCTGCAGACCAGGGGCGGGTCTGTCAGCCGGGGCGTCTGGGCCTGGCACAGCCGGTCATGTGGCCACCACAGGGCTCCCGGAACTCTGGGGCGACAGGTGAGGCGGCCTGAGCGCCCCACCCTTGGTGACCAGGGCGCTCAACTGCACCGGGGGAGGGGCCTTCAGAGGCTGCGTGGCTCGCACGGGCTCTCCGGCCCCCCCAGAGCTGGCCTCTGCACGAGACCCTCCCGTGGGGCTCCAGGACAGAGTCACCACGCGGCCTTGGGAGAGGTGGTGGCTCCGGGGGGGGCGATGGTGGGTGTGCGTGCACATGCCTTCCCCACCCTGAAATGAAACCGCCGCTCCTGCCGTGAGACTTGTAGGCACCCAGTTAGGGCCAGTGCTGTGGGTACTCAGCACCCGCCCCGCGAGCACGCAGCGAGCTCGGTGACGGCGGGCGCAAGTGTCACTTGGGCAGCCCGCTGACACAGAACCCCGCTCCTCAGCCCCCACTCTTGTCTGTGAGAAGGGCGTGGGCACCGTGCATCCCTGGGCCTCAAAGTCCAGGCAAGGAGGCCCGCAGACGCCCACACCGTGTGCGAACGACCGCAAACACGTCCGCGCCGCCGCGGGGCTCACCTGCCCCCGATCCGTCAGCTCTGGAGCTTACGACCCAATCAGTATTTCTGCCGCACAGCTTTCCTGAGAAGAATCTCACTGCAGGAGGGAACCCACTCCGAGAACCCCCCAGGCACGCTGTGCACGAATACCCCCTCCTGTGTAAACACACTTCTCTTTTCTGTGGCTTAGGCAAGCGGGAGGTCCTGTTGGCGGCTCCGAGGGGGCCTTTCCTGTCCCACTGCACCGAAACTGCAGACCAGGGCAGCTCACGGAGCCTCTGGGCATGTTTAACCCTCGTCCCCCGCCCCGGACACACGCAGAGAAGCTCCTTCTCCCCACATCCTGGCCTCCCAGCCAGAACCGTGTCCAACAAGCTCGAAAGAGAACCAACAAGACCCCGTCTTCAGGTTAAATGGGCTCCCAGTAGTCAGGACCGCAGGACATCATGTCAGTAGAAACAAGCCCATCACGCAAGCACAGGTCCCTGCAGGAGCCCTACTCACAGCGACAGAGAGCAGGAGGGGCCCAGGGGCGGGGGCAGTATCTATGGGGACCAGTTTCAATTTGGGAAGGTGAGAAAGTTCTGGAGACGGAGGGCGGTGCTGGCTGCACAATAATGGGAACGTATTTAAGGCGCCTGAGTTGTTTGCTCACTTAAAACTGGGTCCAATGTTAGGTTGTATGTGATGTATATTTTAGCACAATTTTGAAAGCGAGAGAGGTTGGTACGTGGCCTTGGCGTCAGTGGGCAGGAAGGGGACACGTCCAGGGGGTGAAGGGACAGCGCCTCGCCTGCACTGAGCCGCCCGGCCCGGAGGTGGCTGCTGAGAAATGTCAACAGGCCTCTAAAAATAACCCCCTCTGGAACTTCTGCCCTGTGGCCGCTCGTGTATTCCCTTGGCAATCAGCGCCTCCCAACAGGTCCCGGGAAGCCAGCGCCGGCCGTGGTCACTGATTCAGCTCCTCGGCGTCCTGGTGCTGGCGGAGTGTTGACACCGACCTCCGCGTACGTGAACATCGCCCATGGGCCGCTCCTGGCCCACTGAGACCCCACGGCTCTTCTCCTGAAACCCTGGGACCTGCTTCACACCTAAGCCACGGGGCGCCGTCAACTTTGCGGGGCTGGCAGGGGCGGGAGGGCGGTGTTAGAAAAATTTAGAGGGAAAAGCACAGAAACGAAGGGTGGTGTTGTTCTTCCTGCCGAACACACTCTCCAAGAAAGATTCTCAAGGAGAAAAGATCTCCTTACCTCTTGTTCGTAGGAGTCTGGGTCCTGGCATTTCCTGTGCGACCCGACCCGGCCGCGAGCCGCAAGGTGGACCGCTCACTGCACAGCGAGCACCCTGCGCGTGCGCTTCACGAGGCGAGAACACACGAACACACGTGTCAGCCCTACCTCAGTGCCCGTGGAGTGGGTTTCCCTGGGTGTGTGACTGTCATTTCATGAACCTGGGACTTCTTTCTTTACATTATTGCTCTTACGCTCTGAAGTGGACAGTGCCGTCACTTTCAGCAGCAGAAATATTTCTGACCGTGACTGCATTGGAGATACAGCCTTTGAAGAAGTAAGGTAAGACAGGTCAGCAGGCTGAGCCCTGATCCCACAGGACTGGTGTCCTAATGAGAAGAGATCAGGATGCACATGCAACAAGGGTGACCCCGTGCGGACACGGGAAGGACACAGCGTCCAGGGGCCAGCCCTGCCATGCCTGGAACTCAGACTTCTAGGCTCCAGGACTGTGCCTGGGTGGCTCGGTCGTTAAGCGTCTGCCTTCAGCTCAGGTCATGATCCCGGGGTCCTGGGATCGAGTCCCACATCGGGATCCCTGCTCTGCGGGGAGCCTGCTTCCGCCTCTCCCTCTGCCGCTCCCCCTGCTCCGTGCTCTCTCGCCCTATCCCTCCCTCAAATAAATGAATAAAATCTTAAAAAAGAAATGAAAAAGAGGAAGAACAGGAGAAAGAATGATGAGGACAGGCAGCAGTGT